CACACCCACCCGCCCAAACAGCAAACAAAAAACACGCCCCCGCCCAAACAGCAAAAAAAATAACACCCGAAAAGCCCAAACAACAAAAAAGTCCAGACAACAAAAAAAAACAAACACTCTTACCAGCAACGAGCCTACGAAGAGGGTCGGTGTTTTTTTGCGGTCGGGGTAACCAACATCTGCTTGTTGCACATATTGTTGAAGTTCAGGGCCAGAGGGGATTTGATGCACCAGAACAGGGCTGGGATGCTTTGCAAAGGGTGCATACATCATGTTGAACCAGATCCACTCTAAACCGCAGGGATCTGAACGCTGCACTGAGGCCTTGCCTAGCCCGGAGGAAAAGCTTCAGGAGTGGATGGAGAACGGAGATGGGGTCTGGGCGTTGTGTGCGGTTGGCCACCCGATTTTTGATAACTCCCGTGTGGGCGAGGACTTCTTGGCTTCAGGTTCAGGTTCCAGGTCTGAAAGGTCCTACTGGTTTAGTCTCTATACCTCTGGCTTGCGCCGTAATAAGCAGAGAAAGCGTGGACCATTGGAGTGATTACAATGCTGATCATGGTGACCCTGTTCCCTCATTTACTTGCGTATCAGCCGTGATCCACTATACCCAGAATCAAGTGACAAAGCATGATTTGCAGCACGTACTGTACATTCAGGTGCAGAATTAGACTCTGAAGTTACCTGCAAGAAAGGAGCCGCAGGCCCAGATGGAGTCGAAGGAAGATTTGCCGCAGCCCTAAAGTAGTGTCTTGCCACGTTTGCACTGATCGTTAGCTTTGTTGCCTCCATGAAGTTGTTCAACTCGGATAGAGCTTACACTCAGACAAACCGAGGCCGAATGCTCCGGCACAGGCAGGTTTGAAGTCAGGGAGGGTTGCCACTGCATGTTTTGAGTTAGCAGGGCATGCTAGGGCAAATGAACAACAGTTGGAGTTGGAGAGGAAGCCTCCAAGAAACTTGATGACTTGTCCTTTCTAGCTGCTGCAAGGCCAGCTTTGGAGGCTCAACATCAAGAGAAGTGCAGAATATCGATGAAATTCGAGCAACATGCGTTGCAGCCTCCATCTTGCAGGCGATGCAATCGCAAGCACAGATGCTGCAGTCCATACAGCAGGCTGTACCCGGGACTATTATTACAGCATTTCCATTGGGGCTACCATCAGTCCTCCACATAAGTTAAGACCTTATCCTCTTTCAGGTATCTACTCATGTGAGCTATAGTCTAAACTCCTTAAAGGGGGGTTATATAGGAGATTATATGGGGAGTATTCTAGGGGTTATTAAGGGGGAAACTAGGAGTTTAGACTATAGCTCATGTAGTTGTACGGCGGATTTTGCAGCTATGGCCTCAGCAAACTGTGATGAAGCAGCTGCTGCAATGACTGGCTTTACCATCAAACAACAGCTTCTTTGTTTTAGTGGCTGTGCTGTTCATTCCGGTCCTTTACTCCCTGGTGCTTAGTTGGGAATGGGGGAATGGGTCATAGGGGCCCTCATTGGAGACTACTTTGGGACTATGTTAGAAATACCATCTCCTCATCCTCTACCCATCCCCAGTCGAGGCTCAAATGGCCCAGCAGATGCAGCTGCTTCAGCAGATGCAGGCACAGCAGCAGCAGGCCGGTCAAGAACCGTAGAACCTAAATCAGGTTGCTTGGATTCCTCTCCACCTGTTCAAAACAAGGGGGTCGTTTTATGGCGAAATAGTATACGTTGGGAGAGGATGTCAAAAGACAGTCTCGTGAATGTTAGCTTGCAACAGTTTCCATGACGACATCGTCACATAGTCCTGGTGGTTGGATGTCGTTGCTCTCGGTTTCAGTTGCATTTTGAGTTTGCCCTAGCCACACCCTAGGCCCTAAACCTTGAACAGCTTGACCGTTTGAGTTTCGTTGTCCATTGCCCACAAACCTGCAGTACGGGCCACTCAACCAGGCCGCTCTGATGCAGATGTACGCAGGGATGATGGGCTAGCTTGCCTGTGCCTCAGCTGAAGGCAAATATGAAGAAGCCGGGGTGACGAGCACCTAGCTGCTACTGTAGAAGCCCGAAGAATTACCTGTCTAGAATATTCCTTCGTAATCCTGTTGATTTCATGTCGCTGGTATGATGGCACGCGCACAAACCTGTATCATTGAGCATCCACTTATCCTGTCAAGCTGATTGCTGCTGATGCTGTTCCTTTCAGCATAACAATTATACAGGCATCTAGCAACACCCCAGGAAAATTAAGGTCATTTTGGGCCTAGTGCAATTTCATAGTGAAGCATGTAATACTGATCATAGCTGAGCAATACTCAGTAGCTGAGCAAGGAACCTTCCCAATGGGTCAATCTAATCCCACTATAGCTAAAGGCTAACCTTTTTGATTTTGAGGCCTAGGAACATAGACCCCTTGGAACATAGCAACCCCCAACACCAAAATCACGAATTTAGCCAGCAAGTGCTGAGGCATGAGCAAAGCTTGGCGCGGCCAGTACTCCATTGTTCCTAGAGGGGAATGGGCGAGTGCAAAAGAAAATGAAATTTTCTGTGGTATTCAGGTTGTGGGATTCAGGACACGTCGTAGGGAAATTCATGGGGATTATTATGTAGAATGATAAAAGGGCTGCTGCATGGATCCGCTCCCTACTAAACACCAGGTAGAGAAGCATGTCCTGCCCCGAGGCACCGGCTTGTTGTGCAGCCAACCTGCTCCTAGCGTGCAAAATCATCTGAGAAATTGGCATGGTCACCGGGAGGTAGCAAACTTGCTAATAAGACGACTCTGGCAACCTCAACTCTAAACAATCAGTGCCCCATAATAAGGGCCATCTACAATAGCCACAGGGTCCTCATTTGGGGGGTTTGGGGTAGCCAAGACTCCTTACTACTCGTGCCCGGAGAGTCGATGAGGGCTCAGAGACTTCAAGCACTTAGGCTCTTTGACTAATGTCTCAAGCCATTAGATTAAGTGTAGTGCGGCTCGATGCTGGTAATTTGTCAAGCCTCCAAAGCTTCATGTTGTTGACCTCAAAGCCAAGTACAACAGGCAGCTGACTCAACCGGGAGATTGTAACAGTCTTTGCGTGGCTGCAGTTTTGGCTTTCAGCTCTGGGAGTTGTGGCCGCGGAGCGTCAGCTCTGCAAGTGAGTCTGTATGACACTTAGCAGCATCGAGAGACTTGAAGCAGAAGCCTCAACGGACACTAGATTGATCAGAATGGAATAGACGATTTCCTACTCAACGGCCGAGATTTGATTCTTGAAAATGATTTCTCTTTTCTGAGGATCATAGAGGCCCTACCATAGGAAGCCATCCCTCCATTCCCTCCTAGCAACTAGCAATCCGGTCTCCCTAATATTAATCCCTCCTAACATTAAATGATAAATTCAGAATTTAGGGTGGGTTTTGAGGTCATTAGGGAGCTATTAATGACTTAGCTAGCTTCTATGGAACTTATTAATTAGTTAAAGAATTGATTATTTCGCAAAATTCTTAATTTTTCAATACACAACATCTGGGTATTTATTAATTGCATAATTTCATTAACATAATTGCACGAATTAAGCCAATATCGTCTTCCATAGAATTTCAAAGGGTTTCAAAGGCAGCCCTATCTAATCTTTTCAGGAAATATCCCTCCTAATATTAGATAATCAAAAACAACTTTTCGGTGCCCGATTAATTAATATGAGGGGGGGACGTCGTTTAAGCTTAGGGGGAAGCGATTAAGAAAATTAGGGCCACGAGCAATCCTGAGAACAGCGATTTCAACCGCTACCTGGATGTCTT